CCATCCCCCGCCCGTGTCGGGTCCATCCAGCTTCCCCCTCGCCCCCTTCCCCCATCTCCTCCACCTGCTGCCTTCTCGCCCTTCTCTCCCTGACCCCTCTGGCTCCCACCACCCTCTGGCCAAAGTGCAGCCCAAGGCAGAAGGGGGGATGGGCTGCACCCGTGGAAAAGCCAGAGAAGCTCCGAAAGCTCCTCTTGGCAAAGGAGGAGCCCCCGGGAAGGGCTTGCGGGTCCTGGTCCTCGCCACCATCTCGCCGGCCGGGCCCAGACAGGCAAAGTTCGGTCTTACGATTGAGGTCGGAGCCCTGGAGGACCAGGGGCGGTAGGACCAGAGCTCTGGGCGACCTTGGCAAACCCAGTCCTTCTGGACCAGAGAGGGGTCCACCCCGGGCACCAGGGTGACTAGAAGGGGCAAAAGTCCTTCCCCCTCCGCGCTGGGCAGGGGGGCTCCAGGCTGGGAGGGGCTCTGTCAGCCTCCCGCGCCCAGGTGCACACAGGGGAGCCCCAGGCTGTGCGCGCCCGGGGGGAACCCTGCCCTGGGCAGCTCCCAGCCCACTCCCCGTCCCTCCCGCGGGGACGGGCGCATCCAGAGCCCGCCGGCTGGTCACCGGCTGCCTGACCTTGGCGCAACCCTTGCCTTCGCCACGCGGTCCCCGGTCTCCACACTCCACACCCGGAGGCGCGCTGTGGACTGTGCCCCCGAAAAGCGCCCAGCCCCGGGGGGCCAGCCCACTCGTCCCCGGCTTGCTGAGTGACCTTGAACGGTCCCCCAAATCGAGGCCTCGGTTTCCCCACCCGCCCAGGAGGCAGCCGCGCCTCGTTCCCAGCGCCCCCAGCCCCTCCCGGGCAGGTGCGTGCCGCGCCCCGGCACTTACCGTCCTCCAGAGGCGTGGGCGTTCGGCGGGGACCAGGGTGGCCGTGACCAGCAAGTGCGAGGCGGCCACCGCGACCCCGAAGCCCACGGCCAGCGGGCTGCGCACGGGCAGCAGGGCGTAGGACACGAAGGTGACCAGGAGGAGCTGCCAGACGCCCTGGTCCGCGGCCGCCCCGGCGGGGAAGCCGGCGCCGCCGAGCGCGAAGGGACAGCAGAGCAGCGCGAAGGTGAAGCTGAGGAGCAGCGCCAGCCGCCCGACCTGCTGCAGCTGCC